TCGGCTCAGACTTACTCTATAAACGCTGGTAAAACCCTCCACTTCGGGCAGGATGCCATCCATCCATACACCGGTTTTAATGTAGCTTCATAGAGTAGAAGTTTATCGAATTATGTAAGACACGAGTTTAGTTTTAATGTAAAAATGTTGAGCTTACACTAATAAACTTTCATGGGCCAATTATCTAGCGATTATTCAATTAGTTTAAGTTTGAAAAAATTGTGGTACAGCAAAAAAATTATTTCTTTTAATCCTGCTTTCGTAGTTCAACATTGAGAATTCTGCTTTTGTGTTGGAATAATTTGTCAAAATTGACAATTTCGGCTTGAATCTATTTATATTTTTTAAAATAATTTTTTTTCCTGTAATTTTTCACTTTGATTTCTGGCTGGAAATTTCTGTGCTTTCCCTGGCCTTCCGATTGTCAATGGGTTTACCCGGCTATGGCGACGGCTTTGAAAAAATATATTTTGAAAAACTAGTACTCCCATTTTTATGCTCGTATATGAAAGACGATTTGTATTTGAATTTCCGAAGAACTACTAGCGTAAAAACCCTTACGAATTATGAGGAAACTCGTAACAAAATTTCAAATATGTTTATTTCTAAAATAATCGATCTCTTCATAATTCATATTAATTTTATAAAATTGTTTTCCTGGAGCTATAAAGTTTCCTCTTTCCTCAAATTTAAATATTAGTTTTTTAAATAAAGTCAGCTAACACATTTTAACGTACGATGCCAATAAATTTCGTCAATATTGTTAATATTTTTCACCAAAAAAATATTAATTTTTTTTCAGTTAAAGAAAATTCGAACCTAAATCCTTAGTTTAAATCCTTTTATTGTTTGTTTTAACAAAAGAAAAAAAATATTTTGAAAATAAATTGAAATATTGTACGAATAATTTTTGCTTCTCACTTTAGTTATTCTCTAATTATCTTGTCATACTTCACGTATATATGTAAGTACAAATCTGCAATTTTAAAATGTTATCATTCCTAATTATTAATGTAATGTTTTGGTCTTTTATACAGCATGATATGTTGATGCAAATTTGGGCTACGACTCTATGTTCTCTTCTGCAATCTCCTATGAAAGCATACTCTAATTCCATCCTTACTGTTATCGTTTAAAATAAGAGCTTTAATATAAATTTAAAATTAAAGTTTTAGTTGTTCTCTAGTAAGGACGAATTACCTTTAGTATGAACGAGTACATTTCGATTATTTCATGTACTCATCGATTATGTCGATGTACTTATATTATATTAGTTTTATTATGAAATTGTTTTGATTAGCATTAGTGAACTATGTAAGTATATATGCGTAAATGTTTCCTTAAAATTGCTTTAATTTTTATTTTTTTACTTAGAATTACGTTTTAAATGGCATAACAGCATGGCAAATTTTTATTAATTTTTAAAAATTAATATGAAAAATATACAACACATACAGATGATCGCCGTGTAAGCAACGTTTCAGTTTTGTGTTATGGAGTCGTACTATTCCAATATTTTTATATCAGGAATATACACTAAAAATCATACGGGTTTAAGCAAAATGAAACTAAATTAAATTAAATTAAATTAAAAATTATTTATATAAATTAAGTTAAGCTAAAATGAATTAAATAAGGTAAACTAAAATCAACTGAGAGCAATCATATGCGATAGGCGGATGTTATATAAAACAACAGGAAATGAGAACAAAATAATATACAATAAAAAAAAATAATAATATAATTAAAATAAAATTAACTTAAATAATATAAAAGAAAGTAATCAAAATAAAATAAAAAAATATGTAGTAAAATGTAATAAATTAAAAATACTTAAAATAAAAATATATCAAAATATTAATTAAATATTAATTAAATATTATTATTTTACTTAAAATAAAAATATATTAAGTTCAAAATAAGAAACTCAAAATATAGAAAATAATATTAAAATGAAAATTAAATTAAATTACTTTGAATAAAAAACTAAAATCGAAAACAATAAAGAGAAAATAAATAAGTAGAATAAAATTAGTTGAAGGAAAATAAAATATAATTAAGAATATTAAAAATTAATTAATAAAAAATAAGCGAAAACAAAATTAAATAAAATGAAGAAGCAGGAAAAAAATAATAAAAATATTAATTAAATATTAATTAAAATATTATTGTTTTATTTAAAATAAAAATATATCAAATTCAAAATAAAAAACTCAAAATATAGAAAATAATATTAAAATTAAAATTAAATTAAATTATTTTGAACAAAAAAATTAAAATCGAAAGCAATAAAGAGAAAATAAATAAGTAGAATAAAATTAGTTGAAGGAAAATAAAATATAATAAAGAATATTAAAAATTAATTAATAAAAAATAAGCGAAAACAAAATTAAATAAAATGAAGAAGCAGGAAAAAAATAATACAAATATTAAAGGTTAAAATATAACTGGGCTGAAATGTTAACAGAAAAAAAAATTAAATTAAATAAAAAAATAATACCAAATAAATATAAAAAAACCAAATAATAAATACACTAAAAATTATTTAAAAAAATAATTAAAATATGTAAATTAAATTAAATTTATATACTATGTATATAATATATTTTATTTTATATATATACTATAAAAAAGTTACATTTAATAAATAAACTAAACTAAAATGTAAGACAAGAAATAAATAAAAAGTATTATAAAGTAGAATAAAAGTATATAATTGAAAATGAAATTTCATTAAATAAAAAAAATTTAAGCAAACCAAAATGAAATAAAAACAAATAAAATAATATAATATAACTAAAAGACTTAAAAGTAAAGTAAATTAATTTCAAATTTAAATAAAAAACTGAATAATTAAAAATAACTAAAAATAAAACCAAATTAAATAGAATTATATATAATATAAATTTAAATAAAAATTAACACTGGAAAAAAAAATTTGAATTAAAGTAATAATGAAACAAATATTATATAATATAAACTTAATAATAATATATATATAAATAATAAAAAATTGAAATACATTAAATGAGAACATAAAAAAACATAAAAATAAATAATGTAGATAGCAGAATGAATTAAAATAAATATAAATTAAGTTTAAACTTATAGAAATAGAAAATAAATGAAAATAATAATTTTGTTTAAAATAAATCTAAATAATTAAATTATGTACCTAATAAAAAAGCAAAAATAAAATTTAATATTCACAAAGAAAAAAAAGATATATATAAAAATTGAAGTAAATTAAACTTAAATACACAGAAATTGAAAATAAAATAAAATTAAAATATTAAAGATGCTAAAATAAGTATGAATAAAAAATAAAAATCAATAAAAAATAAAAATCAATACAAAATAAAACAAGAAAATAAAAGAAATTTAATTTAATTATAACAAAGTAAAAAAAGTTTAATAGTATAAAGCAGCTTACATTTAAAAATAATTTAATGAAATGCTATAAATAATAATACAACAAATAAATAAAAATAATATAATGCCTAATTAAAAGAAAGCAAAAAATAAAATAAAACAACACAAAACAGAATAAGATAAAAAATAAATAAGTTGAAATAGAATTAAAGCACAACAAAATTAAATTTAAATAGACAGTTAATTAAATGTATTGAAATCGAACTAAATAAAATAAAATTGTAGATAATATAAAAATAAAATTAAAATAAAAAAAATTAAAATAGAAATAAAAATAAAAATAAAAAATAAAAATAAAAATAAAAATAAAAATAAAAACAAAAACAAAAATAAAAATAAAAACAAAAATAATAAGTATAAAAATTTCAAAAAAAATATAAAAAAAATTAATACATTTATGTTAAAGTACGCGTAAATATGCTAATGGTTTTATGCTTAAATGTTTCACTAAAAAGCAAAACTTAAAAATTTCAAAAAAAAAAATAAAATAAAATAAAATAAACAAAAATCACCAATAAAATTTTGATCATTCTAAATAAATATATTGTAAAACTATAAAATAATTTGAAGGATTTGCGTTCAATTCCTATTTTATAGTTGCATGTACTATACGTACTTAAAAAAAATAGAAAACTATAAAAAATAAAAATATTAAATAATAAGAAAAATTTTCTATTCAATTTAATAAAATTTCATATTTATTGTATTAATAGTTAATTTCGATCGTATTATACGTTGTTTCGTTACTATGGTATATTTGTGCACATTTTTCATATCTACCCATGTACATATTTACATTGTCATTATTATATTTACATGCCTACATATATGTACTTAAATACATATAGAATTTTTATTAATATTTCTATTTGTTTTATTTGTTTGTGTTTTTTTTTTAAGGTAATTAAATTGCATCACCTAACTAACTAAATTACAATAATATTGTTTATATTTAATTTTTGAATTCTTTACGATTTTTGTCTTTCGCAGTTACTAGTTGAGCGAAAAAAATCATTTACAATACAATTCGGCTGGCTATTCTGTTTTCGTTAAGTGCTTACATACTTACATACTAATTGTTGGCATTTACGCTTAAGCACGCTTACGTAAGGTGCAGCTATGTACGCATGTATGTATGTACGTGTAGTTGGAAGATAAATGCCGCATGAATCGCAAATTTTATTTAATATATTTTGTTGTTTTTGTCTATACGCTTTTTTCGATTTTTTCGATTTTTTTTGGATTATTGAATTAAAAATATTTTACAATATTTTAATAAAAATGCTTTCACCACTTGGCGGTCTAGGCATGTATGTATGCAATGACTATATGACAATTTTTCTATGAGTATAGTAGTTTATGAGAAAAATATTTTGGTACGAAAAACTTTGCATAAAAAAAATATTTTTTTTTTCATAACTTAAATTAACAAAAAAATATTTTTATTTTTGCTTAAAAATTTTTAAGTTAAAAAATTAATAATACAAATTCTGAATTAAATAAATAAATTGGAATAAACAAATTAAATGAAATAAATTATTATTTTTATTAAGAAAAAAACACCCCACCCTAATGTATATGTTATGTTTGTTGTCTTCTTTGCTATTTTACATTCATTTTCAATCACTGCTAAACACATTCTTAATGCACTTGTGCTTAATTTTAATTTAATTTAATTTAATTTAATTTAAATGTATACTTATTATTAACTATTTCTTGCATCACTATATCGCGCTTAATTACTATATGTACTCGTATGTTGTTGTGCATCCTTTGTTGCACTATTTTATTGCACTTTTGCAAGCGTACGGCAGCTATCTACTCAGCTGGCACTATTTTCTGATCCATATCGGGCTTCGTATCGTCCGGATCGAGACTTAAGCAATCGGCAAAGTAATGTTCCATCGAGAGATAAACATGTTCGAGCACACCGTTAAGTTCGTGACCTTCGTCCGCGTAAGTCTAGGCATTTTATTTGATAAAAACAAAAATTAATTCCAAAAACAAAAATTTATTTTTAATTAAATTTTATTGTTTGCCGGATTATGCAATCACCTGATATCTGTATAATATGTTGGCATCTGTCAGCGCCTTTGCCAATTGTATGCCGTGTACGTAGGGTGCAGTTGAATCGGCTAGGCCGTGTATTAGGAAGAATGAATGTGATTTGATGAGTCGCGCTCGTTGCGTTGCGTCGGCTTCTACGTAGCCTTTATAGTTTTCCGCCGGCAATCCCAATATGCGTTCTGTGAAAGCAGAATCTAACGAAAGGAATGATGAATTAAATCAATTTTAAGACAAGCATAATTTAATGGAAATAAATTGTAATTAATAATCGTAAAATCAAAATTTCAATTATAAGTTTGCGCAAGAGCTCTGTGGATAACCAAGCGGTCAGCAAAGCTTTAATTTCTTACAGCACGAACTCGGGTGTGGTCGCTCTATGCAAAGAGTTGATAAAAACACTTCGTGAAGTGAGAAGAGTTTGCATTTACGGACATGGACTTTCAAGGCAAAGAGAAAGCTGTCTAAAGTGTTTGTCTTGTTAGGACAGGACGTAATAATGTAGCTCCAGCCAGTCTGGCGAATATACTCTGAGAAAGAGTCAAGGGCTGTAGAACCGCAAAAACTATATGCAAAACTCACAATGCTAAACTTAAAAAGTTTTCACTAGTGACGAAAATGCCGGATTCTAGGATGCTGCTAGAACGATTCACAGGACATTACCTTCTGCCTCTATTAAAGGTCTGTTTGAGGACAACAAGTACAAGAATATAGGAAATGTTATGGAAAAGTAATTCTCGTAATCTGTTGCCCAGTATTCGACAAAGGTAAGCATAGCCTTGGAGTCGAAAGGCTACATGAGACCTACTACTACAATTCGCAAAAGAAATAGTAATGTTCTGCACACCAGAGACACGATATGCAGTATGTCTGGCAGCACTATGGACGTAATACGGTCTATGGTGCCGCCAGAGCCTATCATTTTAGCCAAACCTAACCTGAACGAGATTTCGAGTTGAACATCTTTTTGTATTAACATCCTTTCTACAATTAGAATAACCAAACATAAATCGTAGGGAATAGTCAAATTTTCTACTCTCTTTTCACTATTTTTGAAAAATCTGAAGTGTTGCACTAGAAACTCTCCCGGACTTCACACACTTGCACAGAAACAGTTTTTCATTGTAACGCTCGCCCGACTTGCTAACGAACAACGCTTACAAATAGTAAGAACCATTCCGATACAGTAAATATCAGGTGCTACCACCATGTGATTATTACAAACCCACCCAAAATTAAATCACTGGATTTTCCGTACACGTTGTTCCTACAAAACTACGGCACATGCCGCTCCATTGACTGCCTAGATCCCGTGATTTTACGCCTCTAAACAAGTTTTTGTGGTCTAACATGGGAACCCAATTAGATCCAGATCTCTCTCTACCTGGTCTTTCCAATGGAGTGAAGGTCTTCCTCCATCTTTGCTTCCACCAGCAGCTGCTGCACCGTAAACTTTTGAAACTGGAGTATTCTCAGTCATCCGGACCACATGATCTGGCCAGCGCAGCTGATGTTTCTTGATTTGCTGAACTATTCCAAAGTCGCCGTATATCTCATACAGCTCAACGTTCCATCGGCACCGGTATTCCCAACTCGTAGAGGACCATAAATCATATGCAAAATCTTTTTCTTAAAAGATCTTAACGCCGACTTATCAGATGTTCTCATCGACTATGTTGTATTTAGTAGTAGGGTTTGGTCTTCGCTCGTCAAAAGAGGTCTTTACTTTTCTGGATTCTGCGTTGGATTTCAAGGCTGACATTATTGTTGGTACTGGTACCAAGATAGACGAAGTTGCGACTTCAATGTTATGACTGTCAATAGTGAGCTGGGAACTGAGTCGCGAAAGCAAAACTCGTGATGCGTTTTTGAGTCCAATAATGTCAATACCATCGGCGTACCATAAACCTCCTCTATCCAGCTCTAAAACTTTTATCATTTTCTCCAGTAACAAATTAGAGAGGTCAACTTAAAAATAATCACTTTGTCTGAAACTTCTTTTGCTTTCGAACGGCTCTTTTGATTCAGACATAGCGACAGCTACTATTCTTGCTAACGAAGGCTGCTCTTAAATCGACGAAGAGTTGGTGAATGTCCATCCTCCTTTCAGGCGTATTTTCCAAGATTTGACGCATGGTGAATATCTGGTCAATGGTTGATTTGTGAGGACTAAAATCACTGATAAGGTCCAATCGTTTTGTTGACGGTGCACACAATACGCTTGATAGGACCTTAAATGAAATATTGAGGAGGCTTAGCCCACGGTAAATATCAAGACTTTGGGATCGTATTTTTTATTGATTGGACAGAGCACACTTACGCTCCAATCGCCGTGCCTGTTTTCATCCGCTCATACTATACAAGGAAGCTCATGCATGCACCTGATCAGTTATTCACCACTCGACCGCACTGCAGGATTGCTATTCGAACTTCGTCATAGTCGCACAATGAAAGATCTCCTGGTGTGACACTTACACAGCCATTCAGGAGGCTGGATAAGTGTTCGCTCCATAAGCTCAGTATATTTTGGGCCTAGTATCTATATGTGCTTCAAGAGTCTGCTCCAATACCAGTATATGAAGGGTGATTTTTAGCTATTATCTTGTTGGCAACACTGGTTCAAACAGCTGACGCGCGTCTCGTGTCTTGTATCTCTGTCAAGCATCTTCACTTTGGTCTATAATTTAGAAATGAATCGTCTTAGAAACGAACAACGCTTGCAAATTATTGAGTTTAATGCGTGAAATGCGTGCTCAGCTAAGAAAGTTCATCGCGCGCTTCTTCCATTTCCAATATGAGTGCAAATTGTCGATTTTGCAGTGAAGATCAGCCAGCAGCATTGCAAGAGCTACCAATGCATCCAGAAAACATCACAGTTTGGTGTGGTTTATGAGCTGGTGGCATCATTGGACCGTACTTCTTTAAAGATGATGCGTATCGTAACGTAACTGTGAATGGTGAGTGCTACCGTGAGATGATATCTAACTTTTTTTTGCCCAAAATGCAAGAGCTTGACATGCATGACAAGTGGTTTCAACAAGAAAGTGCCACATGCCACACAGCATTTATTGAGAGGCGAGTTCGGTGAACATTTTATTTCCCCCCCTGCGGGTAAGGGGTCCAAGAATTTACCCGCGTTAAGGTATGCCTGTCGTAAGAGGCGACTAAAATTCAATTGTTCCCGCGACAGTCGGGTCTTTATACTGGAACGACTCGGATTTTTATCCGGCCAAAAACTGTCACTATCGCAACATTTCCCAAAAAGTACAACAACAAAGCAGATATCATGTATTTTACGGAACTTTATGTGATTTTTTTTTTTTTTTTTTTTAAACTTTCCTATACAAGGTGCGTTCTAAAGTAAGACAGCACAAATAGTTTTATCGGCAAAATTAATTTTATTCAAAATAGTCGCCTTCTGCTTTAATATAGCTTTTTGCACGGTCCAAAAGCATGTCGAACGAGTGTTTTAGCTCGTTGCCCGGTCTGGCCACCAGTATGCCGATGCAATCCTTTTTTTTTTGGGTTTCGGCTCGCCCGGCGCCATCCATTCAGCACGCTGGCGTTTCGTTTAGGAATCATATTGAAAACACCACGTTTCGTCAACAGTAACAATCTTGTAAAGATTCTTTTGACTCTTTAATGATGTCCTTCGAATGTTGAATTCTGAGCAATTTTAGGTCGTCAGTCAATTTATGCAGAACAAACCGTGCACACAGCTTTTGTGAGCCCAAAGGTTCGGTCAAAATGCAATAAATCGGTGTTTTGGAGATGTTCAAATCTATTTCCATGAATTTCAATGCAGATTTCGGCTGATTTTTTATGAATTCACGCTCAGTTTCGATGGAATTTTCGGTGATCACGGATTCGGTTGGCCCAGATGCTCTTCGTCATTTATGTTCTCACGAAAACGTTGAAACCACTCCTGCACTCTGCTACGGTATAGGCAATCATCGCCATAAACTTGTCTCATCAATTGTAACGTTTCGGTAACAGTTTTACCAATTTTAAAACAAAATTTATTCTTGGCTCTTTGTTCGAAGCTCATTTTCGCACCGATGACAAAACCATACTCACACTTAAATCACAGTAACTTCACTTCCAGTAGAATAATTCTGATGAAATTTTTACTGGAAGTCGATAAAGAATAGCAGATTCTAACGCACTAGTCAATGCACTACATGGCGCCACTAGAGGGCGCTGGATTCAAAAATTCCTGTTTACTTTAGAACGCACCTTGTAGCTCTTAAAAAATCAACTTTTACTTGCATATATAAAGGCGTATTCTTCTACTAATTCCACAAGTCTCTACGAACTATAGAATGGTTAATAAATGTAAGTAAATTTACTTACTATAATACAGCCAATCGGCTATGGGCGATATGGCTATGCCGCATTTGTACACCTCCTGTTGTGTACCGAGCACCATTGACGTGACGTAGCCACCATAGCCCCAGCCCCAGATGCCTACGCGAGTTTCATCTAAAAAACTAATTGTATCTAAAAGATATCTGAAATTGAGAAAATAATGTTGATAATGTATAATTATTATTATTTACTGTTTATAAATTTTAAAATATACAAACCTTAAAACAGAAATCTGATCCTGCACCTCGACACCGCCGAGATGTCGATACAGTTGCTTTTTACTTTGACCCTTCGCGCCACGAACATCTAAACGTATATATATGACGTCATTGCGCGATGACATATACGTGCCCCAGTCTATTCGAAATTTTTCCGAAACCGACTCGGAACCCGGGCGTCCATTACTAGAAAAATTATTATCAAAAAGAAGAAAAAAAAAATAATAAAAATGATTCAAAGCAGCATAAAATTAGAAAAAGGTTCACATACACTTCGACCACAACTGGAAAGGCGGCATCCCTAAGCTCTTCACGCCAACTTGGCGGTAGAAGTAATTGCACTTGTGCCCGACTCCCATGTGGCAATGGTATTTCGAATGAACGTTGTGTGGGTAGCGCTAACTTTTGCAGACGCTCCGTAAAGAACGGACGGGTGTCGTAGAGTATTTTAACCAAGCTATGCGACTTCTGCATATGCACACCCGACACTGGCAGGCCGGGGCCTTGACATTCTAATATGTAAAATTCAATACCATATTGAGTTGCTATGGAAGACACTGGTGTCATGAAGGCATCGAAATGAGAACAATTCACATAATAGTAACGACTGCTCCAAAGCGCTTCGCCTAGATCGCAAGTAATGCACTGTGGTTCAGTTCTGTTTGAAATGGTAAACAACAAAACAAATAACAACAATTAGCAGTGAAATCTAAAGAAGTGTCATATTTGCATTTCATACTTTCTACTCTCATCATTGACTGGATCTTTCACCATGTACAAATGCCTCTGTCCGGGCTTTTTATCCTGCGTGCCAAGATAATAAACTAAGTGATTAACAGTATCCCAACAAAGGATTTTTAGCACCTAAAAAGAGAGATATTTATTATTTATTTGAATTTCGAAAATTATTAGCATAATTTTTCCCGTTACTCGCCTCGTAACGTCCATGTGATATGACGGCAATACGTTGTTGGGTCATGGTGACATGCTTGATGTGCGTGAAATGTTCATTACCGAATTCTTGTACACTCGCCAATATTAAAAAACTATTACCATCCGGTGCGAAAACAGGATGTGGAAGTATATCGAGCCATTCGTCCTCGGGTGCGCGCTCCGAATGTAACTGTAATGAAAAGAAACGATAAGGAATCGAGTTAAAAAAAAACTAGCTTCTCGTACTTTTAATAAAGAAAAATATTATTTTTTATTTATTTATTTTTTTTTAACTTATATATAAGTTAGATGCAAGGCAAACAAACCTCTCCACTTGTGACGAATAGCAGATAAAAGAGAAATATTGATAACTAAAACATGTACAGATCGCGTTTATCGAATGTTCGTTATCGAGTATGCCCGCTATGGGCCGATAGATTGTTGGCCGAACTATTCAAATATAGCGGCCAAGTATTGTACTGATAAGGTGCAGTCATCTCATCTTTGCAAAATAGGGTCGGTTGAAACCTAAATGTGCTCTACCCAATAAAAAGTCTGCGCCAATTACCGTGGGGTAAGTCACGCTTATAAGGTTATATAGAGCGTATTGTGTGAAAGACTAAGACGCATCATTAACAGACTGATTGGATAATAACAGTGTGACTTTAGACCTCGGACCTTAAAAAAGACCCGTGGAAAGAGGAGTGGCACACAGCAGCCTTCGATAGCACAAAAGGGAGGCGCTATGTCTGAATCTAGTATCCTGCAAAACTTATACCGATACTGGGTAAGCTAACGTTAAGCACACCAAAAGCTCCATCAGAATCGAGGAGTAACTCTCCGAGCCGTTCGATACTAAACCCAGTTTCAGACAAAGTTAATACGTTAATCTATGGTTGGGAAAAATAATACGACCTACAGAATTGAATAGAGAAGGTAAATTATTCTATAAGAGTGTGCAGTAGCTGCTCAATAATCGAGCTGTTAGTTTTACTTTCAGCAGGCAGGACAACGCATGGAAGTGTATGACACTGACAATTAATGAGGGCAAGACGAAATATCTCCTGTCATCAAACAAACAGGCAACGTACACGCGAATCCATGGACGATGACAACATCTGATGAGTCGACGTTGGGAGTTTTCGAGAGAAAGGTTTTGCGCTTTGGCAATGGTGAATATCTAGCTACGATATTTACAGCGACGATGTAATAGCTCAGTGAATCAAAAGATAGCGGCTACGCTCGCTTGATCTTGTGGACCAGTTGAATTAAAATATTGTAGTTATCAAATGCAGTTCGAAGCAGCTCCCGTTAGTGGAAGCCTCTGAGAAGGGAAAAACTTCAACACTATTGGCACAAGGTAAAAAGTACTTGGCTGTACTCAAAGCTTCTACGCGATCCCCAAGTATGCCTTTGCGAACAGGTGTTTTAGGTTCTTCCAAGCATCTTCATAAGACTGGAGCTTGGCGCACAGTAAAATATTTTACATCTCAATGAGCTGAAGGCCGGATACTCGCAAAGCTAGCGCTCCATCCTTTCGTCACCTTCTATGCATGCTTTGTACTCAACCGATTCTACTTTATCTAGCTTATGAAGCTGATGTCTCAAACTAGATGACCCGCTAATACACCCATAATATTTGCTTAGTTCAAGTTACGGTTTAGTCTATGTACTCTCCAAGCTGCACCGCAATAGTTAAATAGTGCGTCCTACGTCGGAAGTGTTGCAGGAACTTAAGGGTTCGTTCATAACGACCATGTCGTTCTAAAGACTTAGAAGGTGCTTTCTGATCCCACTTAAAATACAGGGGTTCGCTTTGTTGGTGGGACAAGGACTCTGAAATGAAAGCTATAGGATCTGGTAACCTAATAAAGATGTCACCAGATGGTAAAAAAAAGTAGATAGGAAAGCGAAAGCGGACTAATGGCAGTCCCTCTGCTCGTTGGAAGGAATCTGTCATTAAAATCAAATTCGTCTTCCCCTTAACAAAAAAATAAAATTACCTACTCTATTAATAGATTTTCACCAAGTCCGGATAGAATTATGTCCATAGTACTTCGGAAGCTAAGGGAATTAATGAATCTTTGGCCGTAGGGTTCCACAAAGCTAACATTCAATTACATATTTCATATTTCAATAAGCTGAAAAAAGTCAAGGTGGTTTTCATAACAAAACCGGTTGATTCGTATGTGCTTGTGAACAGTATGTTCAAGCCCTTCGTCATATCAGCGATACGAACAAGCTACTGTAATCGACGGCCTTCGAAGAGGTGGAGGGTTATACTCCAAGGACCTTGACAGCTATCTATACAGTCACACGGAATTCCCAAATTTCAATTAAGGGCAGGATTTATACTCACTGGCAGGTCAACTCAATATCTCCATAATATGCGCCTTGGCTATAGGAATGTTTTCGGTCCGAACAAATTGGCCAAGTAGGAAGCTTGCCTTGGGCGAATAAGAATCGGAATGAATATCATGTCTGATAAGAATGATTAGCAGAGAGCTTCACATAAAATTTGAACAAATACTACAGCTCAGGAAATGAAGACCAGTTAAACAGATCCCGCTGTGTACAACCACGACCTTGGGAGAACATGCATTAAAATAGATCTGCACAATAACAATCACTGCGGATTGCTTCGTTGAGATTGATCTTCCTTACATCTGCTCAGCATAGAGGATTCGTCGAGAAGGAGCGAGTAAGTTTCTTCGCAGTGAACACTTGAGAAAGCTCAAAAGCATTTGCTTGTCTTTCTATTCTCCAACGGCAAATCCAGCCATATGAAATCTCCTATACTGACTGATCTCTGTAATTAGTACGCACGTAAATATGACGAGAGAATACTAACCGGACGTGTACGAATCATATGAGCTTCCAAATATCATTGATAGTCTTAAAAAATGAATTATTCATCATGATTACCTCAGCGCATGTCCAGTTGGTCTCCGCCAGGCAAGTAGCGATTATGCTGTAATTCTGAGAACGTGTCATATAAACAACGGAGACTTGGTAATTTAGATCTGAAATCCAGCCAGCTGATGTTATATAAAAATCTCTGCAAGTTTGGGGAGAGAGAGAAAAATGAAATCAGCATAGTAGAAATCAACAGTTTGCTCTACCATTTGAAATACTCACTGTCCGTCCAGTGCGGGGGGCGGCTTCAACATGAAATATTGTATGTCCGTCAAATTACTTATATCCACCACCCAGAGTGTGACTTCGGGATTCATGGTGCCAGGCGTGGGATAACGTACATTTCTCGTTTCCGGAAATGAGCTTTCCGATGTCATGCCGCTACCGGCAATAATACCACCCGATGCCAGCCATGGATATGTCATAACGCCCACTTTGCTGTCATTAAATGAGGCATATATGAAATGTGTACCGCCTTGTGAGGCCCATATCGCTTCGGGTTTTTCGAAAATCTCCTCTGCAAATATTTTCATATAAATATCTATATTCGACACGGAAAACTTTAAAACTTTTATGTAGTTGGAATTCGAACTCACCTTGATAGAGCCAATCCGGTACACCGTTATAAATAAAATTTTGGTACCCTGTATTCGTAATTCGTAGATCTTCCTCGTCAGTGGGTGATTGTCGTAAATAAATATCGTTGTCAGCAACAATAACCAGGGTTGTTGTGTTGCCAAGCCACGCGGCATATTGTAGACGCGTACGCTGAACTTTGGGCGAATCCTTTAGTTTCACAGGCATATGGTGATCGTTTTCGACGTCGTATATTGTATAAAATGCGGTAAAGGATTTTTGAAAAATCTGTAAGAAGAAAAATTTTCGAATAAAGTCTTTTTCAAACTTGGTTTGTTATGAATTCAATTTGACTAACTGACGTTATCCTCAGCCGGCTAGTGCAAGTGGAAAATGTCTTAACTAAGTGTACCACGCTCAAGAAGACTGTTAAGTAAACTCCGTTTTGACTTAAGATCCCCTGCCAGATAACCAGCCGCAGACGAAGGGCCAGGTAAATTAAGCGTAAATAGACAGCTGCTACTCCTAATTTCGTATTTAAACCCAATAGTTACTCTTATAGTTCTGATAGTGATCGAGGACAAGACGAAATCGCATTGACGACTTGGCTCCCACGTCACTGTTGACAGTAACAACTTCGATATGGAGCTAATTTCGACCGTGTAGGGACCAGCACTGACACCAATAAGGTGCTCTCTCGACAAACAGAAACCAAACTCTATAAGTCACTCACCATTCCCGTCCTACTATGATATATGGTGCAGACGGCCTTAGAAGTCTTCGAGGGAGAATTTCGCGAACGGTTCATGGTCTTATGCGCATTGGCAACGGCGAGTACCTCAGACGATAGAACGATCGACTGTTCTAGCCATGCGATGACATTGATTAGTAGATCATCATGTCATCCCAATGTGTAAGCAGATGAAGAGGAAGACCTTTGTTGAAAGGATCAGGTAGAGAGTGACCTGGATTCACTTGATTTTTCTAACTGCCGCCAAAAAACGAAAAGAAGAGATGAACGGCGCAAGGAAGAAGGTACTACTCCTATTCTTTTATGCAAGGAGCAGTATATACAAGACTAGTCTAGGTAAGTAGGCCAAAAAATGTTCACCTGAAGCTCAATCAGAGCTAAATGTTGGACTGTCGTAAGACCTCAATACTTATTATATTATATTTCATTATGGCCTTTCAAACCATTTGGAGCTCGCAATAAAATTACTCATATACGATATCCTTTTTTGTGAACAACAATTCAGGGTTTCGTACCAGAGTTCTATGACGAATTTGCAAGAAAGCTAGACCCTCACAGAGAAAATGGACAACTAAAATTTTCCACTTTCGGCGAAAAAGTCAATAACACCCTCTGCTTATGCCAACATATGATATACTATCGAAGTTTTCGATTATAGTTGGGAAGATGCTAGCTGAGTTACGGATACCAGTTGTTAAGATCTTTGGAGTTTGTATAGACAAAACTTACCATCCGCGCCCAGGGCACTTGTATAAAAAGTCAGCCGCAAACCAAGAAAACAGGAGTCGTAAGTTGGCTGTTGAATTGTCAGGCAGCTCTAGCACATATAAGTGATGTACTAATCCCTATTTGAGGTGAAAAGAGAAGCAACTCCTCCATCTTCATCTTTAAGATCAGATCTCTCTGGCAAGCTCCCTCTGGGAATATCAAGGCGAGGAGCTTTACGAAAACGTTAGGTATTTAGAGGCGATTAGTGATTTACTACCCATGTTTTTATTTTTGTTGCAGCGACTTGTCTGACCCCCATCAGAGCAGGCAAGAGCAGTCTAAGTCATCGATTCTACTTACGAGGTACCAAAGAAGCGGGTTGTTTCGACGGATTCGGTCTGGAGCGTACGTGTGCAGGTTTAAGGGAGATGCAAAGAGTTGGCTAGTGACGTACGGGGCCTTATTGTATGAACCAACTCTGGATAAATAGAAATTCAGTCGACTAAAATACCCAGTATTATTTCGGACTATCGAGGCAGCTCGAGCTTTCGGCGCCCTAGCACTGTTTAGGTCACAGGTAACATCTACTCCCCCACAGAAGGGGGCCTACAAGGGCCTACTCCTCAAGACAGACGTTGGATTCAAAATAATTCTTTGTTTTTTTTTGTGTGAAGGACTCCGACATCTGCGAAGCGAACCTCAGCTTAAGTTCATCTTAAGACTCATAACGAAAAATGCGGCAACTTTATGGACTATTGCCTATAGGCATTGGTACATGAGCATATTAAGGGCACCTGTTGGACCTACAGAAGCTGCTAATCGTATTCCTTTTAATTTCCTAAGATTATACTGTTTTTATAATGCTGGCCATCAAATCAGTATGCATATGGTATAACAAGGTCGGCAAAGGTTTCAAGGCTGCTCATAGTATGTCCCTTTGAAGAAGTTATTTTCAACTTAGCTTCAATTCATCTAAGGCCATGAATACTGTATAGAAAAAAATTAATTACTGTTCTTAAGAAGTTGTAGTAAGAATCAATCCAGTGACTGCCCGAGTATTTGGCCCTATTATATCTAGTATTATATAATCTAATGATCTAGTATAATAATTATAATCCCTTAAACCAATTGTACTCTCCAATATCATGCCAAGAGATGAGTGTAATTCTCATTATTGAATTCCACTATCCATACTCACCTTCTTAACATTATGCCTAAAGAGAACATATCGCAGATCGTGTGAGCACTGATAGCCACGCACATTCAACTGTCGTAACGTGTGATTTGTAACGAGCGTGCTAACCGAATTGCTGGTCGTATCCAATATGGCCAAACCGCCGTCATCCGATTGGAAGACATACTTTCGCGTTGTAACCCATGCGGGCTGTAGGCGTGTTGGTGTCAAATCGCCCTGTAAATATTCGTCGAGTATCATGCGACGTCCCGACCAATACAATAATTCATCGACATAACTGAAAAGGAGTAAAGAGTAAAGAGTAAAGAGGAAAGTGTAATAAATATACGTAACCATTCAAGTGTAAAAATGTGCTCACCCTAATAGATAAATTGCAGTTATAATTCCGGCTATCACAAAACTAATAACTAACAATGAGAATATTATACTGCGCCAATTATGTCCTTCATCCAAGTCTAAGTCATCGTTTTTTTGTTTTGGATCTTGTACTTGTAGAGTTTCATCAGGTGGCAAACGCCATGATCCGCCGCCACCACCACGATCCGATGTAACATTAGCATGCATTGCAATTTATCTCGTAAGTTTGGCAGGAGTAGTTTTATAGATTCAACGTTAAAAGAGTTGCATTTCCAGTGGAAGTATTACATTTGAAGACAGCGTTGCGGAGGGAAGCACTGATACGTTGTGGTAAATATGTGAAGCACTTTTTATTCAGTTGATTTGCGGATTTCGTTATACGAGTGGACATCATACACAATTAATGATGTGAACTGTGGGTGAGCACATCGAAGCATGAGGATTTTGTCTGTAAATTAGAGGAAAAAAGTCATTAGTACAAATATTCATTGGTATGCGTGCACACAGGCAATAAATGAGGCCTCCTATAAGCCTTCAGCTCGAGGCTAAATTCAAATCGAAATAAAACCGTTGTCATTTAAGAGGGAAAGGCAGAAGATGGGTTCGACATCTAGATGGATATAAGTGTTTGCCAGACATTAGCTCACTTAGGCCACCAAGCAAACGTGAGCTTTGTATTGAGCAACCCTTGTCGAACCCATGTGTGGAGTTTTCAAAACTGAGCAACCGCTGTCTTCCTTAAGTCTCTAGATACTTCAACCTACTCTTCCAAAGTGCAAGGTATTCTCCAAAGAATTATCACTACTTGTCTGTATATACTGCAGAACTCGTTAAATGGTATGCCCAAACTCTCTGTGTTCCTTCCGAGTACAAGATGCCCTATAAGAAGACCTCTAATTGTATATAGATATCTTCTTCCTTCTTTCATCCCAAACTGACCACATTGTCCTGATTACATTATACGCTTTGAGATTTGTCCATCTGAGTTAGCATCTTTGATAGATAGATCTCCTATAATGGAGCACGGTATGCCCGAAATGACAATGGCAAAAAAGGGAAGGGAGCAAGTGTTCCTCCTTCCAAGGTTATCCACCGTCTCATTACCCGATATGTTACTATATCCAGGTGCTCATAAGTGCTCTGCGCCAATTCTCTTTCAAATCTGTCTTTGTACCTCCATAAAGCTTTCTGAGCTTCGAGGGCTCTCAGTACAATATTTGGTTCATCTTTTAGGTAAGGTCGTACACAAGAATAAGATTTATGTTAAAAACCCCTGGTAAGTTTTGGCCTGTCATCGGATCTATTAACGTTCTGCAGACGCTTTTAAGCGCTGACACTATTTTCGTCCCAGTTCCTACTCCACTTTATGTGGAGTCTCTTAGTATATTTCCAACAAAAAGAGCAACTTAACTCAGCTTATTTATGAGTTCCACCTTTTGCACTGCTTTCCCTGTTCCTAGATTTCAACTGACGTGGTGTGATGTGAGATTATTGCTTTCATTACTGCCTGCCTGGCTATCTCTCGGCTATGCCTTGGAGAAGTCTCAAATTTTTGCATGAAGTTTACACTTATTTTATATTAAAATCAGAAAGTCTCGTTGACTGTTTTGAACAAAATATGTAAGTACAGGCAAATAGAAGAACAAATCACTCCCCACATGAAGCCTCTAAATGGTTGGTTGGTTGGTTGGTTGAAAGAGAAGAGTTTGAGGACCTGACCCAAAGCCGCGGCTCCTAAGTCATTGAAAAGGCTCATTCTACTCCACCGCGTATCCTAACTAATACTTTGCAAACAGTTCACTCGATTTTATAAAATGTTTTATTTTCTCCCAACAATGCGAACCTACCTCCGTTACGTTGGAGCTGGGCTCATCATGAAAAGTGTGAAAAATCAATCGTCTAACGACCGGACTCTAACAAAGGTATTCCCCAACTTTTCGTCAACTTCTGTGCATGCTTTGCTCTCAGCCGATTCCACGTTACCTAACTTGTCAAGTGAGAAATGTTGTCAATAGTAGCTATTTTCAGGCATAAATGTTTTATATTAAGCCAGAGTGACCCGCTGACCTTCTAATACAAATTTAATAAAAATAATTAAAAATTGTTTAAATTACATTTCTTTTTCTTTAAGCTTTCTCAAGCAAGAGTAAAAACGAACAGAAACCCCCCTCCCCCCCCCCAAACACCTGCACCAACGAAGGTGGCATAACTTAATTACAAATAAGACAAGAAAGTTAGTAGCATCATCAACCTTATCAAGGCTAGCTTTTAGCTTTTCCATAAATTTGGTGAGGACGGCTGGTGAGTTGTCTTAAAAATAGCGACCTTATACATAATAGTCGCCTACACAGGCAAACTAACAAGTCGACAAAGGAAAACTCGAAAATATTGTAGGTGCCGATGTAGTAAATGCAATACAATCCAAACCCAGCTGTAAATGTACAGTGTCGTGCAAACAAAACGAAGTAGATAGAACCGAGATAAAACGATCTCTCCATCTGCAAGTTGGAAAGGTTTCACAACTAGCAACAATAATTAGTACACATCAGCATCTGATTCCTACAAAAACATTGTTTTTTGCCTCTACGAAAATGTCCTGATTTGTGTAAACAAGATTTGGGAGAAGTTTTGATTTTATATTTTATTTGGAAGCAAAATTCAGCTGGAGCTCATCGAATGCTTGTGGAAGTTTATCGTGAGTCTGCACCGACCGATAAGCCATGCAGAGAGCGGTCTCGAGGCTTCAAATATAGGAATCTAGGGTTCAAAAGCCATGCTCTACACACGGTGGAACCAGACGGTTTTCATGTACTATGAGCTGTTAAAGCCAGACGAAACCAATGATGTGAAACATTGAAGAATACAACTAATGCGTTGAGTTAAAAAATGCCAGAAACGAGCGAGAGATACTGCAGGTGACATTACAACATGGCAACGCTCAGCCAAACGTAGCTGTAACGGTCAAAAACGAACTGAAAACGCGGAAATGGGACGACTTACCCCACCTGCCGCATTCTCCAGACTTTTAGATTAATGGCTTTTTCGACTGAAACAAAACCATTTGTTGGGTCACCAATTCGTAGCGCGAGAGAGAACCTATTTTGTAAGCATTTTATTCGAAAATTAACAGAGAGCTGTGAAAAAGTAGTTACATCCGACGGATAATACTTTGAATAATGTAATATTTAATATTTTTCAATAAAACCCTCATTTTTGAACTCAACGAAATGGAGCCCGAATATTTATTGCTGCCGCGGTAGCCGAGTGGTTAGCACTGCGTACTGCCATTCGGAAGGATCGGGTTAGAATGCTGTTGTCGTACTATCATCTAAAAAGTTATAGAAATTTAATTTAAATAAAAAATTAAGTTAACTTTTCTAATTGTGGCCGCCCCTCGGCACGGAATGTCCACCCTTCCGAGTGTATTTTTGACATGAAATAAAGATCCTCGAAGGCGGATGTGGCTTAGTATGATTTTGAATATATTGTACTAACGGTTCGATAGGATTCTAGCGCCGATAAAAGCTTTCCCGGGTTCTGGCATCATGATAACTAGCGATCTTTTAACCTTTCAAGTATTGCGTCAAATAGTTGAGTCAAAAAAGCAATACCTTTCTATAGTGGCAAATATGCTCTTCCAAGGCGCCAACCGCAACGGGCTATTCTGCGGCGTTCCACTGGATGTATGGCATGTAGCGCCATCTTGTTGGAGCGAAAGATCGACTATATCAATATCCTTCAATTCAGGTACTTAAAAGTTATTAATCAGGGTTATAGAACGTGCGACGCCCTTGACGGTAATTGATGGTTGATGGTAAATCAAGAAACAGTCAAAAAGACAAATTCCGAAAAAAAACCGTACGTTCAAATATCAGAATTTATTCAGAATGACAGACGGATCAAACCACAGCCACTGCTCGTGAAAACCTGAAACTTGTAGAATGCGGTCTACGCATGACGAAATCAACCGATAAGACAGGATTTACCGGTTTTTGAATCTTTCGATGTATGTACATGTACCAGATAAGCAGAAGCCACGGGAAAGTGTAGGGATCCGGGAAGTGGATCCGAGATCGACCTTTTAGAAAAAGACTTATCTATGTTTCGATTTGCTCCATATTTGGATAAAAAATTGTGTTTTTCGAGTATTCCAATATTATTTAAAATTAATCAAAAAAAAATACGGAAAGTCTTATTAAGAAATAGGCCTTAATATAAACTTAGACACATTAAATTTCTTGCTTTTATCAGGTGTACAACTTGCTTCCGCCATTTTTTTTCCAAAATTAAAAGCTTTATTGCGAAAAAGTGCTTACACATACATATATTATTCAAAGTATTGTCCTTCGCTAGCGACAACTTTCTCCCATCTTTCCGGCAATTTTCGGATCCCGGCTCGAAAAAAGGAGTCCTCTTTTGACGCTATCCATGAAGCAATCCATTTTTCGAATTCTTCGAAAGATTGAAAATGTTGATCTGCCAGGCCGTGTGCCATCGAACGGCAAGGGTGGAAGTCAGAAGGTGCAACATTTGGAGAATACGGCGGGTGGGGCAAGACTTCCCATTTCAGCGTTTCCAGGTACATTTTGACCACTTTGCGACGTGAGACCGAGCATTGTCGCGTTGGAGGATGACTTTGTCATGTCGCTCTTAATATTGTGGCCGATTTTCTTTTAGCGCGCGACTAAGGCGCATCAGTTGCGTTCGGTAGCGATCTCCTGTGATAGTTTCACCCGGTTTTAAGAGCTCGTAGAAAAGGTTGAAGGTTTTATATCTTCCACCACCATGTTTGTCTTCGACATTGAAATCATCATTTTTAAAACGTTGAAATCACTCCCGACACCTTCTTTCACTCAGAGCAGCATCACCGTAAGTTTCTGAGAGCATTCGATGCGCTTCGGCTGCATTTTTTTTCGAATTGTAACAGAAAAGTAAAACTTCCCGCAAATGGCGATAATTAGGCACATAAACGGGCATTTTCGAGAGTGAATAATACGAAAACAAGAACAACTATCACTGAAACGGCGATGCCAATTCGTTAAGCACTGTCCAAACTCACTTTAAAGGCATTATCATCTATGTAAATATTTCAAATTTCAACCAGCCTCAGCCGGTACAGCCACCTATCGGAAAACGTTGTACACCTGATATTTTGCACATCACTGTTAGTCTACGCATACGAGCATCTATATAAATTAGTAAAATACTGCAAGGAAATCCAATTCTCTCAAACCTCCGCGCTCATCCCACAACAAACACTCTCTCCTACATTGACTGCGTTTACTAGTACAACAAAGTGAATCTCATCCTTGACCGAAACAAAAGAACTTTGAATGCCTTTCAATGGTTATTCATTAGAGATTTTATCATAATTACATAATTTCTAGCCTAATAAACATTTAAGCGCATGTTGTGTGCTCTCTGCCATTCATCGAATCATCGGGGTCG